TGAATAAACAACTAGACAGGAGATCAATAATGAAATAGAGGACTTGAAACAATACTATAAACCAAGTAAATCTAACAGATATAAACAGAACATTCCATCCAACAAGAGCATAATACATATTCTTCTGAAATACACATGGAACATTCTCCTGGATAGACCATATGCTAGACCACAAAATAAGTCTTAATAAATTTTAAAAAATTGAAATCATGCAAAGTATCTTCTCTGACCACAACAGAATGAAACTAGAAATCAATAACAGAAGGAAGACTAGAAAATTCACAAATAGGTGGAAATTAAAAAACATACACTTAAACAATGAATGGGTCAAAGAAGAAATCGAAAGGAAAGTTATAAAATACTTTAACATGAATGAAACTACAATACAACATAATAAAACTTATGTAATACAGCAAAAGCAATCCTCAGAAATTTATAGCTGTATATGCCTATGCTAAAAAAGAAGTTCTCAAATCAATAACCTAACTCTCCACTTTAAAAAAATTTTTTTATTGAAATATAGTCAGTTTACAATGTTGTGTCACAGCACAATACTTCAGTCATATAGGAACATACATATATTCATTTTCATATTCTTTTTAACCATAAGTTACTACAAGATACTGAACATAGTTCCCTGTGCTATACAGTGTAAACTTGTTTATCTATTTTATATATAGTAGTTAGTATCTGCAAATCTCAAACTCCCAAGAAAAAACTAAACCCGAAGCTAGCAAAAGGAAGGAAATAATAAAGATTAAACAGAGATAATGAAACAGGGAATAGAAGAACGATAGAAAAAAATCAGTGAAACCAAAAGTTGGTTCTTTGAAAAGTAAAACAAAGTTGACATATCTTTAGCTAGGTTGACTAAGAAAAATAAGACACAAACTACTAAAATCAGAACTGAAAGGGCTGCCCCTGTCTCTCCCTCTTCAGAGACAGCCCACATTCTGTCTATGGAGTGGGTACCTACTTTTAATCTGAGCACCCAACCCCCACACCTCATGGCCTTTCTCCTGCCTTTCAATGTATCTTTCTGAATAAATCTACCTTTACTAAAAAAAAAAAAACACCAAAAAACGGAAAGGGAACAATTACTACAAACCTAACAGAAATAAAAAAGATTATAAGACAGTACTATGAATAATTGTGTAGGTATCCTAAGTGAAAAGAATAAATTCTTAGACATCTAAATTACCAAAATTGAATTTAAAGGACATAGAAAATCTGAATAGACCTATAACAAAGAAATTTAATCAGTAATCAAAACCTCCCAACAAAGAAAAAACTAGGACCAGATGGCTTCACTGGTGAATTCTACCAATCATGTAAAGAATTAATACCAATCCTTCACAAATTTTTTTTAAAAAAATAAAAGAAGGAACATTTCCTGATTCTATAAGGTCAACATTATCCAAAGCCAGATAAAGGCATCACAGGAAAAGAATGCTATAGACCTATATCCCTCATGAATACACATGCAAAATACTAGCAAACCAAATCCAACAGCATATTAAGGGCATACATCATGACCATCTGGGATTTATCCCAGAATTGCCAGGAGTTTCAACATATAAAAATCACTTAATGTAATATACCATATTAATAGAATGAAAGAAAAAATAACATGATCACCCCAACTGATGTAAAAAAGGCATTTTACGAAATCTAATACCCCCTATGCTAAAAACACCTAACAAGTTAGGGATAAGAAGCATAGACAAAAAATTCATCGCTAGCATCATACTTAATGGTAATAGACTGAAACTTTTCCCCTAAGACCAAGAACAAAACAAAGATGTCTGCTTTTGCCACTTTTATTCAACGTTCTACTGAAAGTTCTAGCCAGAGCAATTAGGCAAGGAAAAGAAAGAAAATGCCTACAAATTGCAAAGGAAGAAGTAAAGCTATCTCTATTTACAAGTGACATAATCTTATATACAGAAAATTCTATATATAGGTATAGTCATTACAGTTGTAAAGAATGATCAGATGGGGAGTTTCAAAGAGAAATGGAAACTATTAAAATAAGAAACCAAATAGAAGATCCTAGAACTGAAAATTATGATGTCTGGGGAAAAAAATCCCAAATAGAATTTGCATACTCATGAAAGAAGAAAATACCAAGTAAATTTGTATAGAGAAGTCAATAAAAATGACATACTATGAAGAAAAGAAATTTAAAGATTAATAAGTTAAAAAAGGAAAATTATAGAAAAGCCCCCAAAATCTGTTAGAGTTAATAAATGAATTAATCAAAGTTGAAAGATTCAAAATCAATAAACAAAAATTAGTTGTATTACTATACACTGGGCATGAACAATTCAAAAGGGTAATTAAGAAATCACTTCCATTTATAATAACATCAAAAATAATGAAATAATTATAAATAAATTTAACCAAGGAGATGCAAGATTTGTACATTTTAAACTATAAAACATTGCTGAAAGAAATGAAAGACCTAAATAAATGAAATAAAAAGACACCTCATGTTCATAGATTGGAAAACTTAATGTTAAGATGGTGATACTCCCCAAAGTGATCTACAAATTCAATGCAATCCCTATCAAAATCCCAAAGTGTCTTTTTCAGATATGGAAAACTGGTTGTAAAATTCATACAAAATTGCAAGGGATCTCAAATAGCCAAAAAAATCTTGAAAACAAAGAACAAAATTGGAGGACTTACACATCCTGATTTCAATCAAACCTAACTACAAAGCTACAGTAATTAGGACAGTGTAGTACTGGCATAAGCAGAGACATATAGATTGGTGGAACAGAATTGAGAGCCCAGAAATAAACCCATTCATCTATGGCTAATTGATCTGCAAAAGGGTGACAAGACCATTTAATGGAGGAAAGAATAGTCTGTACAACAAATGGTGCCGGGACAACGGGATAGCCACATGCAAAAGAATGTAGTTAGACCCTTGTCTCACACATATATAAAAATTAACTCGAAATGGATCAAAGACCTAAACAGAATAGCTAAAACTCTTAGAAGAAAACATGAGGTAAATCTCCATGATCTAAGATTTAGCAACAGTTTCTTAGATATGACACCAAAAGCACAAGTACCAAAAGGAAAAAAAATCAATAAATTGGATTTCATCAAAAATTTAAAGATTTTATTCAATTTTGTTCTCTTGATAAAGTTAAAAGACAAATCGCAGAATGGGGGAAATACCTGCAAATCATATATCTGATAAGGATCTAGCATCCAGAATATATAAAAAAAAACCTCTTACAATTCAACAACAACAAAAAACAAACAACCCAATTTAAAAATAGGCAAAGGACTTAAATAGACATTTCTCCTAAGAAGATAAACAAATGGTCAGTAAGCACATGAAAAGGTGTTTCACATCATTAGTCACTAGGGAAATGCAAATCAAAACCACAATGAGATACGACTTCACACACACTAGAAAGATTATATATAGAAAAAGGAAAGTAACAAGTGTTAGCCAGGATGTGGAGCTATTGGAACCCTCATATGTAGTTGGTGGGAATGTAAAGAGCTGTAGCTGCTGGGACAAACAGTTTGGTGTTTCCTCAAAAAGTTAAACATAGAATTACCATATGACTCATCAGTTCTACTCTTAGGTATATACCCAAATGAACTGAAAACAGGTGTCAAACAAAAACTTGTACATGAAAGTTCACAGCAGCAATATCTGCAAGAGGCAATAGGTGGATAGAACCCAAATGTCCATCAATGGATGAATAGCTAAAGTAAACATGGGACATCCACACAATGGCATATTATTCAGCCGAAAAGGACTGAAGCATTGATCTGTGCTACAACATGGATGAACCTCAAAAACATGCCAATTGAAAGGAGCCAGATACAAAAGGTCACATATTGTATGATTATATTTACATGGAGTATCCAGAACAGGCAAATTCAGAAACAGCAGATTAGTGGTTACCAGGGGCTGAGAGGAGAAGGAATGATAAGTGACCACTTAATGGGCATGAGGCTTCCTTATGGGGAACCAAAGCTATTCTGGAATTGGATAGTGGTGATGGTTGCACAACATTGTACATTGTGAATGTCACTAAATTGTACACTTAAACATGACAAATGTTATGTGTATTTTACCATAATAAAAAAGTTATCTAATCCAATCCTTCCACCAATTCAAACTGTCCCAATTCATCTGACTTAGTAGTATTGTGCATAAAATACAATCATAGCCTATATTCATAAATCAGTGAGCATCCTGATTCTACCTACCACCAGCCTAATTGATTTTTTGTTGACATCTTTAACTGAAGGCTGTTTCCCTCCATAGGCTCTTTTAGCATCAAACAGAGTTTTGTGCTGACTGGCCAATTATTTTCATTATAAATTACCTTTCTGTTCACTTTTTAGTTCATAAGGATAATTGTTCTAAACTCTACTTCACTCTAAAAGCCCTCTCAAGTTTAATAACAACCAGTCAAATTAACCACACATTAGTCTGAGAATGGAAGTGTTGAGATGAGCACAATCTAATAATTTTTCGATTGTTGATAGATATTTAGTTGGCAAAGCCAAGACATATGAAATACACATACATGCACTCTCGTGTCAATCTTTTCAATGGATATGTATCTATCAAACAATACTACGCCTCAACCTTTGAGATTTTGACAATGGAAACTATAGAGACTTCACTTCCTAAAAATCTCTATTGTTTTCTTCACAAAATAAGTGAAAACACCTGTAAATTTTTTTCCACAAATACTGTCTTCCATTGCTTATAAATTAAAGTGTTGATTATTTGGCTTGTAAAATTGGACAGAAAATGTAAACCACCACGCAAATCAAAAGCAAGAACAACAGCTCCTTCCTTAAATGCTCCCCCTCCCCAGGATTCAGCTACAGCAGGAGAAAAGAAAGTGCAAGAAGAAATTATGCCCCTGACCTGTGCACCACCACTCCACTCCCCTTCACACTCCCCCAATCCCACCCCACAACCTGCCACTTAGGATGGAGCTAACACTCACCTTCTTCAATGTCATGACCTTGTATGATGAAACCTTCTTTCGTGGGCTCTTAGGTGACTCTTCATCAGCAGAGCTTTCTTCAGAGTCCTTAGAGATTGTGTCAGACTGGATAAGAGGTGGGCTGATGCTGGCCTGGCGTGGGCGCAGTGGTGGGATCTGTCAAGGAAGAGGATAGAAGAAAAAGTTAAAATTTATGTGCCTTCCTCAAAATTACTGATGTTCTCTTGTTGCTTAGTGGTTGAAGGGCTAAGAGCCCAAAGTGAAAAAACAAGCCAAGGCAAGAATCTCAAACCAAACCTACTCAAACCTACTCAAACCAAAGACAGATAGCCTTGGTTCACTCTCTGGGTCACTGCACACTTTTGCCAATCCCCAAAGACAGGAACTTCAAACTGCTTGTTTGATCAAAACCAGAACCCTGGTGTTATCTCCTACTGATGCTAACTATAAATCTTATTGGAGTCTGATCACTACAAATCTTATTTGAGTCTGATCTTTGTTTTGATTTTGTTTGATTTTGTTTGATTTTGACCCTGTCTTTAGATAGTCCTGGTGTTGCAAGCGTGAGACTTTGGGTTGTAATCTGGGCTTGGCATCCAGACTATAATCCTTACTCCTATCATTCCATCATTCCAGGAATTGTCTGAATTGAATCTTGACGGTGTTGCTTATTTATCTTAAGCCTGGCAAGATTGATTTTCTGGGATTTATTGAAAAATCTACAGAACTAGTCCTCATTAGGAATGCTTTACCAGTTTTCCTAAGGGGATATTGATTATTTGTGTTTTCCTTGAGCTTCAGCCGACTGATTTGGTGGATTCCAGTTTGAAGTCATAGCACACTTGAATTTGAGGCACTGGTCCCCACCATGGACCTCTTGATGTGGATCAGAATCCTTGATTTTATCTTTAACAAATACTGGCTAAGCATGTACATTGGGCCACATCCATTCTAGGCACTGGGCCTATAACACTGAACAAAACAAAATCCTTGTTGTCGTGGAGCTGACATGCTTGCTTCTGTCATGGGCTCTGCTCCTGCTCGGGACAGATGTTTGTCAAATTTTCAAAGCCAAAGAAAGGGGGCCACAATGAGGTTCTGCCTGTGGGGTAGTCCTGGCCAGTGTCTAAGGTTCCTTCTTATTACTACCAGGCCCCACTGGGGGCCCTTGAGAAGATATACCGAGGATTAACCATCCCCAAGCCCTAACTACTACTGAAGGCAGCTAACTTCTACTGAAGGACTTACTCTGCTTTCATCTTTATTATTTCCTTTCTTTTGCTAACTTTGGGTTTAGTTTGCTTTTCTCATTCTAACTCCTTAAGGAGGAGAATTAGGTTACTGACTTGAGATCTTTCTCCCTGCCAAGCGGGAGGGAGTGCTCTCTGTAGATGTGTTTCATTTGAACCTTACAATTCCCTGAAGCATTTGCTCTTGTGGTCTCCCTTCTATCAATGGGGAAATCCAGGTCTGAGAAATGGCATGACTGGCCCTAACTCTCACAGTGGCAGAGCAAGCATTTGAAAAGGTCTGCTTGCCTTTATAGCCTATGTTCTTAACCACTCTACACTCCTGTCTCCTAACTACAAAGGCTGGGAAGGGGGTGTCCCAGACTCAAGTTCAGGAAGTTTAAAGGCAACAACCAGAAGAGATGGTGCGCCTACTTCCTTAAGAGGGGCTGTAGAGGGAGAGTCAGGTCTGTGAGCAGGTAGAAAAACTGCTTTATAGTGTCAGGTCCTTAAATTACTGAATTCAGTTTGATTCAACAATAAGATGCTAATAATCTGCTATTACCTCTTCTTATCCATTTGTCCCCAAATAAAAAGAATGTGAAACTTCTTGAAGAGCAACTGAGGCACCCATTCCTAACACTTCAGATAGGACATCAGGTAAAAATTTAGCAGTCATATATGCTTGTCAAAGATGAATCCATGCACGTCTAAGTACGCACGCTGGTGCAGTAAAACTGTGAATGGCTCATTAAATCAGTTATGGTTCCTTTGGTTGCTCACGCCTCTTCTACTTGGATAACTGGTTAACTCTAGCGCTAATACATGCCTATGGGGGCTGAAACCCCCTCCTGGTGGGGAATATGTACATTTATCAGATCAAAACAGAAAACTGGCCCCATTTTGGTATTTCTAACAGAATTGTATACCTGGATTTTCTCTCCCAGTCTCCCAGTTGCTCTGAATATCACTTACTCCATTAAGAATCCCGCCCTTTCAAGGGACCCAGCCATTGGCCAATTCCGTATTTGCCCCAGGTACTTAAATTACTGAATTCAGTTTGATTCAATAATAAGAAGATGCAACAGTGTTTGTCAGGACCCTTGACTTAACGTTGTCAACTACCCTGTCATTTAAGGCTGTCACCTGGGCACTTAAGGGAAGTTTCCCACACAAAAGTCAACCTGGTTGTTGATGACTCAGCTTCTGTTAACACCCTACTCCATCTTCAGCCCTGTTTCCCAGGGGAGGGACTAAGGGAGCAGGCCAAAAGTGTGAAGTGTGAGCCCAAACCAGACATTTAAGAAAACTTGTCTTTGGACTATTGTGGCTTTCCCCTTCGCTGTGAGAGGAAATGGCCCTAGAATTTTTTTTCCTTATCTTTTTTTTTTTTTAATGGAAGAGTCTCTCTGTTGCTGGGACTGAGTTGAGGGAAAGAAGGAGGAGTCCAGGAAGCCAGTTTCCCCTTTCTGAATATGAGAAATAACTCCGTGGCATTTGGCCAAGTATGCTGGGTGGCGAGGGAGTGCAGCTGTGGAGACCAGCGAAAGCTGGTGTTGACGTTTAAAACTGAAGACTAGAAAGTTCACAGAAGTGACTTTTCTTGCTGTAGTGCAAGAGGGCAACAGCTGGCTGACCTAGGGGCTGCTTTACAACCACAAGGTCAGCTCCACTGGTGACCCCCTCAGAGTTGCTTCTCGACCCTTCATGGCTAAAGTACCCAGCAGAACTCCCACACACAGCATGAAAACCAGAACAAGAGATGTGGGGTCTTAAGCAGGCACATCAGAAATAAGCCCCAGTTACCTTTTGCCAAATGCAAATAATCAGCCTTCAGGTGGATAAGGGGCTCCTCCTTGTGTGGCCTTTTCCGTTACATAGGTCTCTTTGAGTATAAGCCAATCCATGAGCCAAGAGGAGGAAGGCAGCTGCTAAGCATAATCTTCCTGGCAATATCTCTAGCTCCCCCTGGAGCATTTCTAGATCAGAGCTCCAGAAGAGTATGACTGAGTAATGGTTAGGATTAGCTGGGCAGAAGAGACTGTCCTATGTACATGCTGCATTTTATGGAGACTAAAGATGTACCCTTCTTCCTGTTGAGGCAGGAACAGAGAAGCTGAACATCTTAGAGGCTGGGGTAGTGAAAAGATCATGGGTTTTGAGGTCAACACATCTGGGTCAGATTTCCAGGTCTGCCACTAACTATATGGGTGAGACTGAGCAATTTCTTTAATCTCTCTCTGAGTCTTTATTCAATCCTCACAAGCAATCCTGTGAGGTAGATATTAATATTATAGCCATTGCAGACAAGGCCAAGGAGGCTCAGAAAGGTTAAACAATCAGCCTGAGGTCACAGAGCCAATAAGTAGCAGAGCAAGATTTCAAGCATCGGTCGATCTCTGTGACTCAGCTGCCATACTTCGAACAATTCTACTTTATTACCTCAGTGCTCTTGGGCACATTTCGGGGCATGGCTCCAAACACAGCTCCATGCATACTACCAGTCCCAGCTCTAGGCAGAGTTCTAAAACCATGAGATCTCTGTGGAAGAAAGAAAAAACATGGGGGTTGGAATGCCTGCACAGTAACAGTGGAATGTCACTGTCATAATACTTAGAGCATTTCTTGGGGTGTGAATATGGTAATAATAGCCATACAGTGTGCTGGACACTAGGTAAGCACATCACATATTTCTATATTCTCTCATTCAATGTTTACAACAGTCCAATGTTTACAACAGTGGGGTAGAATCAGTTGAGAAGCAAGTCCAAGTTCCTCCCTCCTTGTTTTTTGGCAGGATAGGAGTAGGAAATGGAAGAGGAGTAGTTCAATTAGGCACCGAGACTTGAGTTCACTATTACCTGCAGAGGTCTGCCTCTCTGGACATCAGGAGAGGGGTATGTTTTGCTTGCTGATCTTTTAGGTTCAGTCTCCAAAGTGAAGATGCTGTCATGGGACAGGGCTTTGATCCTCATGCTGCTCTTGGCCCTGGACAGGAAGTAAAAGGTCTTATGAAAGCAGCCAAGGTCCGTAGGAACCAAAGACATATGTACATCTATAATACAGCCTACCAGAGACACCTCAGAAGCATATGTGCTGACACAGAAAGTTGTCTGTGAGACACTGAGTAAAGAAATAAAGAATAATATGGTCCCATTTAATACATACAGATATATTACATACAGGTATAGTTTATGTTCATAAAGTCTGGAAGGATATCCACCAAATTGTTCGTGGTGGTTCCCTCTGAGGAATGGCACTAGGAACAGGAGGAGTATTTTCGTTTTCTACTTTATGTACTTCTGCATAATTTTGATTTTTAAATGATCAACGCATATCTTTTTCATGTAATAACTTTATTGAGATACAGTCTACATGCCATACAATTCACCCATTGAAAATATACAATTCAATAGTGGCAACACTGTGGAATGGGAGGGAAGACCCTGAGCTTGCCATTATTAAGGTGAGAGTTATAAAAGAATTTTCACACCCAACTTCTCTCTAGTGTTTTTGTTTTGATTTAAAATATCAAATATCTGCCCAGATGCTGGAAACTTTCATTCACCAGGTCTTTCCCTCTTTCACACAAGAGTTCTGTGATATATCTGTCCTATTTTCAAAGTCATTTTACACTCACACTACACCACCCCCAGCTCCAGCCTGCTAAACCCAGATGGAAGTACCTTCTGATTGGGAATGGAGCCAGGTTGATGACAATTACATTAAGACAAATCAGGGGGGAAGTTAGAAGCAATTGAAAGGCTAAAGGCCAAAAGACTCCTTTGGGGATGTACAAATATATTTCATCTTTAAAAAATTTCAACCAAAGACATCACAAGAAAAGAAAACTATAAACCAACATATCTTATGAATATAGGTGCAAAAATCTTCAATAAAATACTAGCAATCTGAATCCAGAAACATATAAAAAGAATTATACACTAGGCCCAAGTAGGACTTGCAAAGAATGCAAGGTTACTTTAATATGTGAAAATCAATTAATGTAACATACCATATCAATAGAATAAAAACAAAAACCACATGGTCACTTCAAAAGATGGAGAAAAAGCATTTGTAAAATCCAGCACCTTTTCATGAAAAATATATTCAATCTTCACAGAGAGCATCCGTGAGAAACCCACAGATAATATCATAATGATGAAAGAATGGATGCTTTCTCCCTCAGATCAGGAACAAGACAAGGATGTCTGCTCTCACCACTTCTATTCAGCATTGTACTGGAGGTTCTAGCCAGGAAAATTAGGCAAGAAAATGAAGTAAAAGGCATCCATGTTGGACAGGAAGAAGTGAAATTATCTTTAATTACAGATGACATGATCCTGTGTATAAAACTCCTAAGGAATCCATTAAAAACCACTAGAATTAATAAACGAGTTCATCAGGGTTGCAGGTACAAGACCAATACACAAAAAAAAATGGATTGTATTCCTATAAAGTTGCAATGAACAATCTGAAAGTGAAATTAAGAAAACACTTCCATTTACAATACCATGAAAAAGAATAAAATATGGATGGACCTAGAGGGTATTATGCTAAGTGAAATAAGTTAGACACAGAAAGATCTCATATGATCTCACTTACATGTGAAATCTAAAAAACAACATAAACAAACAAAACAGACTTCTAGTTACAGACAGCAAACTGGTGGCTACCAGAGGGGAGGGGGTTGGGTGAAATAGGTGAAGGGGATTAAGAGATACAAACATCCAGGTATAAAATAAATGTCATGGTGATACAAGATACAGCATAAAAAATATAGTCGATAATACTATAGTGATTTTGTAAGGTCACAGATGGCTACTACACTTATCATGGTGATTATTTCATAATGTATTTGATTGTCAAATCACTATGTTGTACACCTGAAACTAGCATAATATTGTATGTCAACTACACTTCAATTTTTAACAATTTAATGAAAAAGAATAATATACCTCAGAATAAATTTAACAAAAAGTATGTAAAACTTACATTCTGAAAACTATAGAACACTAATAAAAAATTAAAGAAGACCAGAATAAATGGAAAGACAACCTATGTTCATAGCTTGGAAGACACCATTACCAAAACACCATTCCTCATATATGAACTAGTTCGCATGCTTATACTCACACCATCCCCTCTTGCCCCCGCAGAGGTGCGCGCACACACACCTTCTTCGTCTGGAGAATACATCAGACTAAATGAACCATTTTGGAGGGAGAGGGACAATCAAAAATAGGGAAGGTAGAACTTGAGTAGAGACAACCCTTGCTAATTTGTAGAGACAAAGCAGAGTGAACCCAAACTCTCCTCTCCCACCCCACCCTCTGGTTTTTGTAGGGCAAATCTTAGTCTCACTTAGACCTGTAAGGCAGTGGTATGTAACGGTGTGATTTGTGAGGTATGAGACAAGCCCCGCTGTGCAAAACCATCTCCCTCACTAACAAAGCTCTCTGAAATTCCTCACATTCAATGCACTCATCAAGGGCCTTTTTAAGGAGACCTGTCAGTGGGCAGTATAACGTGTTCGCTGTCTCATTACCTCCAAGCAAAGCCTTGACCGAATGGATAGCAGTACACATGAGCTCTGTGGAGAGCCCAGATAAGTCTGGTGTTTCAGGCTGGGGGAACGGGCCTGAGTGGAACTCCATAGAGGGGGGGGTCTGATTGATTCAGAAACAGCTGGGAGTACTGGGGATCCAGATTTTCCATAATAGGATGTGGAAGTTGGGGCTTCACAGATGAACTCTTGAACAGGACTGGCAGCAGAGACTGAGAAACGGTCTTCCCCATACCTCTATGACCAGTCACAGCACTTCCCCCAGTCTCCTGGGATGGAGGGAGAAATGAATTGGGGTTCTTTGCTTGTTTGCTTGTTTGACATGAACACAGTGATTTCATGCTTATGCCCCAACCCAGCGAGATGGCTTCACTACCTAAGACTTTAATCACACATGACGAGACCTGGAATCTGAAGGCTAGTCAAGAGAACCAGATCAAGCTTCCTGAATGATGTAGGGCATCCTTACCTGATGAAACAGAGGCCTCCAGCTCCTCATTAGTGGTAGGCCCCATATCTCAAGGTGTTATAGCTGTGACAGGGAAGGGTTTCCCTGACCTACCTGCACCCTCTCATCCAGTGCTCTCGGGGAGTGGGCTGTGCATTTGCCGTGACAACAAGCATGTATATATGAGCACAGAGCAAGGCCCCCAGGACATGGCTGCATTGGCAATGGCTGCAGACCCGGCTCCCACAGGCAAGGAGGCCAAGAGTCCCTGGGACCAAAGGCCTGCTGGTGATTTGTCTGCCAAAGGGGGAGCTAGATCCAGCTACCTGCCCCTTGCCCTGCCCCTCTCCTTCTGTACCCCTACCCACTTTACCTCGGCTTGCTTTGTTGATCTTCCTGAATTGGCTTCAGAGAAGAGATGTTGATATTGCTGCTGGACAAGCTTGGTTGGAGCCTCCTCTCTCCCTGGGCCTCTTCGGGCTCTTTTTTCTTCTTCTTGCCAAAAAAACTCTTCAAGGCTTTAAATTTGGATTTCTTCTTTCCTAGAAGTTAGACATGAAAGTGAGACAGAGTGTGATGGTGGAGGGGAAGATCAGAGAGGAATCAGGGCCTTCATGGCAGGAACGAGGACTGGGATCCCAGAGGTCCTGCAGGTCTCAGGCCTCGGCCCCAGTGCCCACAGCACCACTCGTCTGGTTTGGTCTCTTCTCAGTAACTCAATAGTGAAGAGTCTGAGTTTCTGGTGAAAGGAGAAGCTTGTGGTCTTTGGACAGCCTCTCTTCAGGCCAAAGTCACTGGCTATTCACTTCCCTCTCAATTTCAACTATAAACACACACCTCTTTCCAGCCCTAAGAGGTGCATTCATATGCAGCCATTAATGAGCCAATATAAGCACTTGCTCCCCCCAGCCCCGACTTCCCCCCAGTGGCTGGAGAAATCACTATCCAGTTGGGAAGCCAAGTTTCCACACGTGACATCCATGTGGGAGTTGGTACTGCCCAACCTGTGTGCTGAAAGAATGCAGACCCAAGGAGTGATGCAGTGGGGTTGGTACATTCAGGGAAGATGTCCTCAAGAAAGGAATTTATGAGCAGGGGAGAGGTCTGGGAATTGGGAAGAAAGGGCTGCTGGGCAATGAAGCTGCCTCTGCAAAAGGTTTGATGAAATCAGATACCAAAGGGTTTTGCAAGGGAGGGGTGTGTTTATGTATTATGTGCATTGTGTGTGTGCTTCAATTATTGCTGATTGGTTCAGATGATCTACAGGGCTGCTGCCCTCTGCACAGGCAGATAATTGAACATTTGCTCTATCTAGAATAATAATAATAAAAAAAACAGGGCAGCAGTGAGGAATGTGAGCTTTAAATGCCCCCAAGGCTCTGTCTGGACTCTCTTGAGTTTCCTAATAAGCACGTATACCTTTACGGGGCTCAGTAGAAGAGGGGAAAAGGGAGGGGAGTTCATGCTGCATTGTTCAGAGGGAAGGAAGCAGCTATTATTGCTTTCACATGCAATCATTTGCCAACTCAGCTGTCTCATTCCAATTCCCGACAGTCTGGTCCCTGCAATGCTGCACTGGCAGTGAAGGGCTGAGCCAAGGGAGTTGCCGACATGGCTGCCATTAGAAAGACTTAGTGGTGTGATGGAAAGAACCACCTAAGATTCAGAAAATTCTGGAATCTTTTGGCTTGGCTCTGCTATCAGTTAGCTCTGGGACCTTGGGGCTCAGCAGGAAAATGAGGGGATCACACTAATCAGCATCTCCCAGAGGGTGTTCAGAGGGATACTCATAGGTGTACTGCATGAAAAGGGGGTCTGCTTTCCAACAAGACTTTTCTGAAACTTCAACATGCCTATGTGTATGGTGAAGCTCCAAGCAAATGGACAACGATACTATTTGCCAAATGCATGTGTGCAGAATGTTTGGCAAAACACACCTTGGGAAATGCTGAAATAGGGTTCCTTCTAGCTCTGAAATGCGATGGTCTATTTGTGTACTGATTACTTCTGGGCCTGCCTATTAGAAAGGTTTCTAAGCTTCCAGGCCGGCCTGAAGTCCACCATTACTACAATTCACGCTCCTCTCTGTACACGTAAACCTTGACTGTTGGCACCACAAGTTTTGCATCGGAATGTTCTTCAATCTGTGCATTCATTTATTCCTTCCTTCACCTATTCAACAAACATTTATTAAGATCAAGCACTTACTGTGGGTTGGATCTCAATGAGAAAGGGATAAGATAAGTTCTGTCTTAGCTCTCATCCCCCACATCAAGGCTGCAGGCAGGCCCTCTTTAGCATCCTCTTTAGTAACTAGTATAGTGCAAGGGGAGGGAAACAGCTCAGCGGTAGGAGAGCATGCATGAGGTCCTGGGTTCAATTCCCAGTAACTCCATTAAAATAAATAAGTAGATAAATAAATAAATAAATAGTAACCAGTACAGTGCAAAGCATGCAGTAGCACTCAAGAGACAACTGAGTCCATTGAGGGGTGCAACTCAGCATGTCACTTCCCTTAAATTGAAATCACTGAGCAGAGCCACCCTTAAGCATCCTGTAACTTAAACACTGGCCCTTATTGGGATTGATGTAAATTGTAAATAATGCAGTAAAGAGCTTGGCATAGGAGCTGGCATGTAGTAAATGCTAATAAATCTGAGCTAGAATTAGGGAAACAATCATGGTCTATTAAGACTAGATTCCATTCTATCTGTAGCATTGTTCTATCAATTCTATCCATCTAATCTAACTATAGATAAGAGGAAGCTCCCCATATCTATAACTCAGTAGATACATTGAACTCTAAAATACACATGGATTAGAAGCAGAAGCCAGCATGGGGTGAAGCGATGAAAGAAGATTATAGGATTGTGTGCTTGATAATCGTTGCTTAAGTAACTTCAGTTTGGGAGGACATGAGGAACTTCTCATCTGCTAGGATGTACCTATACAGGGTCATGGGTGGGATAAACTTGGCAATTCTACCTTGAGATAGACAGAATAAAGCCTGAAGATACAATACGAAACATGTTTTTTCCCAAGTTGCCTTCTTTAATTTTTTTAAGGAAAAATTAAACTAATTTCTATGATAATAAATTAAATTATTTAAAATGATATTTGACTTCATAGAACTACTGTAAGGATTCAACATGAAAGTACTGAAAAGTATACAGGACAGAGTAGGCTGGCTCTAAAATAATCTCTATTTTGCTCTCTGGCCTTCGTTCTTAATCTCCCCACCCCGAAATGATTTCTAATCTATGAAATAGTTAGATTTTTATGTAAAATCCTGATTATGATACTAAACTAATTACTATAATCAGTTTTTTGCTGGAAAATATTTCCCAACTGGATCTCTGGGGAAAATGTCCTTATTTGTAATATTTTGTATTTGCCCATTTCTATGGTGTAGACTCCCACCATGGTCAATGTCAAGCTACCAACATGATGTTTGGAAAGAGATATGCACAGACTCCCAAGCCAGTGGGCGCCAGCTCCAACATACCACTAAATCATTCCTGCCTGGTGAGGATGAACTGGCTGGTGTTCCCTCACAAACAGGAAGGAGCCTTTGCAGGCATTGCCATTTTTCAAACGGAAGGAATGAGATGTATTGATTCTTGACAGGTGGATCTCCTGGCCTTCCGAAAGGAGAACAACTTTACACTCAGAGTGTTGGAAACATCGTGATGATTGCCCTTCTTGCTTTGAAATCCCAGAATGGAAGGGAGGAGGGCAAAGCTAGAGGATTTAGAGTTGCAAACCTGCTTCTCACAAACCAGCAAAGACAGATGGGAGAGAATCAGCAGGTGACACAATCTACAGACACTTAACAACTGAGTAAAAATACTTGCAATAAACTTTTCAAGCTGTAAAACTGAATGTACCAAACATAATCATTGTAGGAACGAACAAAATTATGCATAAACACATTTTTATGTTCCAAAATTAACCAAACGACTAGTGCCATTAGAACTGTAACAGGTGCTAAAAATTAATATGTATATATTCCAGTGTTCCCCCAATCTTCCATTTTTGCTCGGGTGAAACAACTTATTTTCCTAGGAGGATTCAAAATACCTTAAGCAATGCCTGTCTGTTTCAATCATGGCCACTAGGAGGCAAAGAATGTTTCCTTTCCTCCCTCTGGGGTAGCTCTGGGTATAGCGGTGGGATAGCTTTGTTGGTGGGGAGCTGGGAAGACACCAAGAGATGGTAACCACCACACAGGGTGGGTGGGCTGCCCATTGATCTAGGGCAGTAGAAAGCTGGACACAGCCTTACTGAGCAACCCATTGCCAGACATCCAGTTCAGCTGCAAGAGTCCAAGTCTCTAGCCTGCTCTGGCTTAGGAGACCTTCCTACTCCAAACGCGTCAGACCGCATGTATGGAGACCCTGGGAGTGAGACACAAAGCTGGGAACTGTCCATGTGTTGCTTTTGAAACCCTAATGGAGTCCAAGACAGTTGCCATATATTCAATGGTATAAAGGAGCCTTTCAAGTTTTCTTTTGTAAATGGGTGCCTTTAAATTGTCAGCAGCTGAGCCCTGTGTGGGCTGGTTTCCAAAGCTGCTGAAAGTTTAAAGGATAGATAGACCTAGACAGCAGGTTTGGGTCAAAACCCACATTTGTACCAGTAATGTTTATGTAGGTCACCGGTACACTGGGTGATTTATGTCCCCGTGAGCCACAGCGGTGGTGGTCAGTGAGCTGACAGCTGAGAGGTGACAGCTGTCTGGACTTCTGTACCAAAGCCATTGACATCTCTGGCCAAGTCGAAGGACAATGTATTCCCAAAAAGGCAGTAGCTTTCAACATCCTCAACCACTGAGCGTCTGCAGTGCATCACATGGCAGAAAACGGCCCCGGAAGGCAGTCCCCTACCTCCTCACCAGAAGAAAACACTGTTAAATCCAATGAAGAAATCATTGCTTCTGGGTTGTACATTTGCTTGTCTACCATGCACATAGGCAGCCCATCCAGGTTGAACTTGATGAGCTTTCAAAGCACATCACATCATGGTGACCTTGTTCTCTTGCATTGCTGCTTGCAAGGAAAACTCTCCTAACTAGCCGTTCTTCCCTTCATCCTCTCAACAGCCACATTATTCTCTGGCTAGCAATGGCTAATACTAATAATGTACCCAAATGTTCGGCTCCTTAAAAAAAAACTTGGGAACAGAGAAAAGGCATTTCCTTACCTCCATTCTCCATCAAGACGCACCGCATTGCCACCTTCTTTTGTAAGTATCTGTCTAGCTCATAACCCAAAAGATACATCAGTTGGTTTGGTAATTGGGGCTGCCTTGGTGAGGAGGACTATCATTCAGGTATCTATTCATTCATTGATTAAATACTTTTGAGTGTCTAATCACTCTCTCTGAGGCCCAATACTAAACAATGGTGACACAGAGATGAAGCCCCAAGCTCTGCCCTCAAGGATCCATGCACCTGGCTCAGGACCCCCGGCCTCAAATCATCAGTGACGTCAGGGTTCCAGGAAGCCACAAGAAGTTCCCCTTCTCACTGCCCTTCCAGACCAAGTCTTCTGCACCACACACTACTAAGAAAACTCAGCAAAAATTGACAAACAGTCCAGTGAACTGTTAAATTCACTTCTGTCTTGAAATTCAATGTCTCATTTCATATGGTTCATTTCCTTCCCCCTCCCTTTTTTTGGGTCAATAAAGCATATCACTGTTTGGTGACTTCTGCCTGTCTATCATCCCACCCATGGTCTCCTACCACTCACAGGTGGCACCATAATTTAGGCAATGGATACACATCTGAGTAATTTTGCAAAAAGAAAATTTTGTAAATTGATTCCTATTTAACAGAAGCCTACAGTGGCGTCTTTCATTTCTATCCCCTCCTTTACTCTTCAAATTACAACTTTATCTGTTGGTTAAATCTGGATTACTATCTACAGTAAAACCTCACTTGAATCACTCCAATCATGGCCTGCTCTGATTTTTTTTCTGATTAAGCAGAAATATTTCTCCTGCTTTAGTAACCAGAACCTGGTAACCATCCCCCAAGAAGATTGCAAGGCCTAGCTAGACAAACCTTTTTTGACTATCAGAGTTGGAGGTGAAAGAGAAGAGACTAGAAGATGGAAAGGTAAATGTGGACTGAGTCTAGTGTTATTAAAAATTTGATATGAACTTGTTTTCTTGTGACTTGATTCTTCTTCCTAGGGGTTCAACACAGTAAACAAATCTGGTTCTAGTTATCAGGATTTTATTGGGTGACTTACCCTCATCACTGGCCTCCAGAACTTCCACACTGCCAGAAACTTCACTTAGTGATTCAGCCATAGTAAGATCACTAAAATAAAATATAGAGCAAAAGAAAAGCACAAAAGATTGTTTGATATCCAGGACATAAAATCATCATTTTACCCTACCCCTTATCCTTCAGTTAGTTCCTTAAACTAGGCAAGAAAAATATACAAAGTGAATTGCCATTAGAGAGAATTATCCTTATTAAAAAAAACAATGATTCTATTTGTATGAAATTTTCAGAATAGGCAAACACATGGACACAGAAAGTGTCTTGCTTAGGGCTAGAGGAAGAGGGGTGTTTTTTTTTGAGTGATAGAGCACAGTGTTTCTTTTGGAGGTGAAGACAATGTTCTAAAATTAATTGTGATGAAGATTGCACAAATCTTTGACTATATTAAAAAAACACTGAATTGTATACTTTAAATTGATAAATTAGATAGTATGTGAAGTATAGCTCAATAAAGCTGTTATGTTTCCAAAAACAAAGACAGATGTATAAAACCTGACCTATTGCTTTGTGTCGGGGTCCATTTGATTTGGAGGCCCGTTACTACTCATGGGCATGCCCAGGGAGACAAAATGGTATTGATAAGTCATAAAGAAAAAAATTGAGATATTTGACCACATAAAAATTTTAAACTTTTGGTCAAAGAAAGGGAAAGAGTCAACAAAAGAAGAACAAACTAGGAAGCAATACTTAGAACAAATATAGATATAGGGGCCAATTTTCTGAATTTGTTGAGTGCATATCAATCAACAAAAGACAAACAAATCACTATAAAATGGAGCAAAGGCTACAACAGGCAGTTTATTGAAAGGGAAATCCATAAAGGAAGGCTCAATCCTACTCAAAAATAAAGAAATGTAAATCAAAATATTAAGTTAAAGTGGGGTCTGCGGGAGGGCATAACTCAGTGATAGAGATCCAAGGTCCTCAGTTCAATCCCCAGTAACTCCATTAAAAATAAATGAATAGTAATCCAGAAAGAGAAAGAAAAATACCACATGATATCACTTATATGTGGAATCTAAAAAGAAAAGACAAATGAACTTACCTACAAAACAGAAACAGACTCACAGATGTAGAAAACAAACTTATGGTTACCGGGGGAAGAGGGTGAGAAGGGATTAATTGGGAGTTTGAGATTTTCGGATACTAACTAGTATATATAAAATGGATAAACAACAAGTTCATACTGTATAGCACAGGGAACCATATTCAGTATCTTGTAGTAACCTATGGTGAAGAATGTGAGAACGAATGTATGTATGTTCCTATATGACTGAAGTGTTGTGCTGTACACCAGAAATTGACACAACACTGTAAACTGACTACTTCAATAAAAATATATTTAAAAATAAATGAATAAATAAATAAACCCAATTACCTCTCCCTCCCAAAAAAAATTAAGTTAACATTTTTGCCTATCAGATTGTCAAAAAGTTTTCATTTTGAGGATGTTCCATGTTGACAAGGATGAGGAAAATGGACACTCTCATACATTATGGAGTGTAAACTGCTCTCTAAAGAACAATTTCACAGTAGCAAAAATTTTAAAGCTACACATACTTTTTGACCCAGTAGCATCTCTGCTAGAATTTTACCCTGTAGATATACTCACACTTGTACACAAAAATATGCACGCAAGAATGTTTATCACAGCATTGTTTTAAGCAGCCCCAAATGGGAAACAACCGAAGTGACCATGAAAAGGGAAATTCTCCCAGGACTCTGATTCTATGTCATGGGAGAATTATCTGTCCCTGTGCTCCTTTCCATTAGTGCCGATAATCAACTGAGCGTCAACCATAAAATTTCCATTCAATCTAGCCTTCTAGCTAAAGCTAGGGATGACAGTCCAGGGAAGCATATCAGCTGATCACCAAACCTTTATAAATCAACACTGACATTTTTTTACGGGAATTTGTGTGTGGAGGGGAGGGGGCCTGATCAGCACCATCACCCAGAGAAAGGATGCTCCATGCATACACAGCAAGAGCACTGGGGAGAGGCAGGCAGAGACTGCCCTCACAATAGCTCCCCCTGGGGTCTGGATGTGAGTGAGTCAAGTACATCAAGTGGGATTAAGTAGGTTTTGGAGCCCCTCTTCCAATCCCAGATCTGTTTTGCTCCCACAAATAGTCAAGCTGCCATTGTTATTTCATGGAAGGGCCCAATGCCCAGTCTGTGCTGCTGTCTAGTTGTAAGCCCCTGATATATCTCTGAAGCTAGAGAGGGGCGACCACAGGCCTTGAAGTTAAGGCCAACTTGAGAAGTCACCCACTGAGTGTGACTGAGGCCTTGGAAAGCAAAAGCTTCCAAACCTCAGTGAGAGCTGACAGGGTCCGGGTCCTGGTGTCAAAATGGCTTCAGACCCTCCCCTGAGAACTCTTGGTGTTCCCCACAGTGTGTCTCTCCCACTGCCATGAATAATCAACCCAGCTTGTTTAACGACTAGTGTGTTCCAGGGGGGCTTTGGCTGCAAGGTATTGATACTTTATTCAAGTCACTCAAACTCTATGAGCCAATATCACAACTCTGCCTGAAGATGACAACCCCGGGCCCACACAATGCTCACTAATTACCATACACACACACACACACACACACGCGCGTTTCATCTGGAGATCTGGAAAGAGCAAAGGGGTAGGGAAATTCAGAAGCCCTTCAGAAATTAAACAGAACAGGAGGATTCTTTGGGCCAGGAACAGTTCACATCACTGATGAGTCCCCGGACCATCTTAATAAACATGGCAGCACCCTGCCCCTGCCACTGAGAAAGGTTACTTAGACACTGTGGAAATAAACTACTCCTGAGCTTTGAAGAAGCCCGTGGAAAAGGAGCCCATTTTCCAAAATAGCAGGCCACGTGCACGGCAGGCTAACATTGTTTTTGACCCACCACTGTCAGGGGTAGAAGGAGAAAGGGAAACAACAACCAAAGAGAAAACTATGAGAGACAAAGGGAGAACAAAGAAAGAGGGCATCGTGGCAGCACCTGCATTCTTGTAGCGCTAACAGAATCATTCGATTTAACTAACTTTTGAGTTTAGACTGTCTCAAAGTCTTTCAGGCATACTTGCCTCATTTCCCCAACTGAACCCCAAGGTCCCTGAGGACAGTACCACCATAAGTTGAGCAGTCTTCCCTTCCAAACAAACCAACCAATAACCACAATAAAACACACAAACCTCCCCTTGATTCAAAATCCTCTTCCTGTTACCATCCAATTCTCTGCATCTCTTTAAAGCCCAACTCAAAAGAGTTATATATACATACTGCCCTTATGCCTTCACTTCTTATTCTTTTGAGCTCCTTCCAGCCGGCCTTCCAGATCCAACTGCTTCCAAACTATGCCACCAAAATTTCTCTCGTTGGAGCCAACCATCAGTTACTTGACCTCCCAACAGCATCTGACACTCCCTCTATTTTGAATAATTTTATCAGTTGCCTTTCTAAACACCACACTCCCTTGATGGTTCTCCTACCTCATTGGCTGGCCCTTTTCAACCTTCTTTGCTGTATCTTTCTCCTTTCCCTGTATTTGAAATGTTGTAGCACCCTAGGGCTCTACCCTTGGCCCTTTTCTTTATCTACAGTCATTTCCTAGACCAGCGCCATTAAATAGAAATGTTTATGGGAGCCACAGTTGCAAGACATATATGTAATTTTAAATTTTCTAGTAGCCATATCTAAAAAGACAACAAGATTATACTGTATAACACAGGGAAATATATACAAGATCTTGTGGTAGCTCACAGCGAAAAAAATGTGACAATGAATATATGTATGTTCATGTATAACTGAAAAGTTGTGCTCTACACTGGAATTTGACACAACATTGTAAAATGACTATAACTCAATTTAAAAAGTTAAAAATTTTTTTAATTTTTAAAAATTAAAAAAATAAAAAGACAAAAAGAAACAGGTGGCGGAGGGTATAGCTCAAGTGGTAGAGCACATGCTTAGCATGCATGAGGTCCTGGGTTCAATCCCCAGTACCTCCTCTAAAAAATAAGTAAATAAGTAAACCTAATTACCTCTCCCCCAAATAATGATAAATTAAATTAAAAAGAAATAGGTGAAATCACTTTTAATAATATATTTTATTTCACTCAATAGAATAAAATATTATCATTTCCACATATAATCATTATAAAAATAATATCAATGAACTATTTTATTCTTTTTTCATACAAAGTCTCTGAAGTCTGGTTTGTATTTTACACGTAGAGTACATCTCAATTCAGGCTAGCCACGTTCCAAGTGCTCAATAGTCATATGGGGCTAGTGACTACCATCTTGTAGATAATCTCATTCAGGCCTTATAGATACTATCTCTTCACTGGCCTCCAAAATATCTATCTCCAGACTAGACCACTTCCCCGAACTCCATATTCTTCCTATAACTGCCTAGTCAACATCTCCACCTAACTGCATATTAGACCCTTGGTTCCCCTGACACTCACTCTTTCTGGGTTTTATGTGATCTGGCCCTCTGCCCATGCTCCTCCCTCGAGTCACCAGTCCTGCTACCCTCCTACTTTCTCCCTCAGCTCCAGCCTCACTGGCCTTCCCCTTGCCTTCTCCCTGGCCTTGGCTAATCCCCAACACACTCCGCCCCTTTCCATCTTGGGATCTTTGCATTTGCTGCTCCCTCTGCCAGAAGGGCTCCTTCCCAGCTAGCAGCAAGGCTGACTCCTTTACAACCTTCAAGTCAGCTCAAACATTAACGAGAGGACCTCCATGATGCTCCTACTTAAAGCCTCTAGTCTCTCTCTATCCCATTATCCCTTACTAACATCTTCATAGCACTCATCACTATCTGAAATGATCATCTGTATTAATTTAATTGCAATTTCTTGTCTGTCTCCTCTACTAGAATGTAAACTTCGTTAAGGCAGGGGCCTTGTCCCTTGTGTTCATCCCTGGATCTCCCAGCACCTAGAATGGGACCTGGTACACCACAGGCACTTGGTAAATGCCTAACGTCAATAAAAGAAGGAGAAGTAATGGAAGAATCATCTTTGTGGTCAGAAATT